GAGGTTCAGCGGCAGACCTCTGATTGTGGACTTTTCCCTCTTCTCCCCTTTTCTCCATGTCCATTGGATCTTGGCATTATTTAACATAGTAACTCAAACTCTGGGTTCCTAAATGTACTAGGTTGGCTCTTCTGCTGATTGGACCAAAGTCAGATTTCATTAGTAGGTATGAGAAATGGTGACCAGTGAACAAACATTAGAAATAATCCAGACACTCATTAAGTTGTGTTTTTGGGGAGTGTTTTTTATTAAATGTGACTGGTAAAGCCTGAGGTCTAGATTTTTTTTTAATTTATTTATCTTTATTGACATATAGTTGGTTTACGATGCATCAGGTATAAAGTGATTCAGTTATATACATATAACTGAATTATTTTCCATTATAGGTTATTAGAAGACACTGAATATAGTTCCTTGTGCTATATAGTAGGTCCTTGTTGTTTATCTGTTTTATATATAGTAGTGTGTATCTGTTAATCCCAAATTCCTGATTTATCCCCCCTTCCTCTTTCCCTTTTGGTAACTATAAGTTTGTTTTCTGTGTCTGTGAGTCTATTTCTGTTCTGTAAAGAAGTTCATTTGTATCATTTTTTAGATTCTACATATAACTGATATCATGTGGTATTTGTCTTTCTCTTTGACTTCACTTAGTATGATAATCTCTAGGTGAGGTCTTGATTTTATCACAGTAGGAAGCAGTTTAACTCTCTGTTCTTCAAGTCACAGACTGTCTTGACTTGTAGGTTGTCATGATGAGCAATGGATGAGTGAATGGTAAAGGTTTCTCAGACCATTATAACTTCCAGAAGCATGACCAAGTACCTACCCTACTCTTCATGGCTCATGAGTGTCCTTTAGCTTGGTGTACAGAGGACTACTCATTCTATTAACTCACTTTGTTCCCAATAGAATGTAAAATTGGTTGTCAAGACCAGGCTATGATGAGGGCCAATCAGGGAATACAGTTGTCCCTCAGTATCCAGGAGGGATTGGCTTCAGGCGCCCCCTTACCCCCACCCTCCACCATACCAAAATCCTTGGATGCTCAAGTCTCTTATATAAAATGGTGCAGCATTTGCATATAACCTACGCACAACCTCCCCATACACTTTAAATCATCCCTAGCTTACTTATAATACCTAATACAATGTAAATGCCATGTACATAGTTTTAATACAAGGTAAATTCTATGTAAATAGTTGTAAATACGATGTAAATGATATGTAAATAGTTGCCAACACGGGCAAATTCAAGTTTTGCTTTTTGGAACTTTCTGAAAATTTTTTTTCCGAATATTTTTGATTCTTGGTTGAAATCCACAAATTTGGAAGCTGTGGGTCCTGGAGGGCCTGCTGTATTTGTATTAGCTCTATCTGGGTAGGGGCAGAGCCCACAGGTGCTTGGAAAATTTGGTCCCATAGGGACTAGAGTATATCTGTTATAGGATTATTTGGTTGCACCGGGTCTTAGTAGCAGCAGGCAAGCTCCTTATATGTGGCATGCGAACTCTTAGTTGTGGCATGCATGGGGGATCTAGTTCCCTGAGCAGGGATCGAACCCCGGCCCCCTGCATTGGGAGCATGGAGTCTTAACCACTGCACTACCAGGGAAGTCTCCTCTGTTACAGGATTAAAAACTCAAGTTTGAACATTTTTATGCTTCTGGGACTTATCTATAATTAATTTTTTTGCTCTTCTTTTATGCTAATTGGCCTTTAAATTTTTTCAAGTGTTTTATCCAAGTGTGTAGGACATTGGCAACTATGAGGGATGATGATATGTATTGATATATGGACACCCTGAACTGATGTGGGATGTGGCAGTGGGTTCCTGGCTAGTCTGCAGTGGTGAAGGCATATGGACAGGATAGGCTGCAGAATGGATGAGAAGGGAACTGGGCTGTAACTGAAGCTCTTTCACTGGGCACACGAACTTGTACTAACATCCTCAGCCCTGCTGGGAGGTATGAGAGAATGGGTTTTCTCGCAAAAGGAAGAATCAGGTTCCTGCACCATTCTAGTTGAGAGTTTAGGGTCTCCAGATAAATATTAACATCTCTCGTAGCAGCCACTGCTGTTTTATATAATTGTTTAGGTACCTGGGGTTAGGACTTAAACATATCTCTTTAGAGGATACAGTTTAACCCTTTAACCCATAACACTCCCTGAACCATCTCCCTCCTGGACTATTGTGCTGGCCTCTTACCATATCCCCTTGTTTCCAGAGTCTCCTCTCTGACCTATCCACACTACCAATAGAATTATCTTTCTGTAATGTAGAAAAAAAATCATATTACTCAATACTGTATGACTCTCAAAGGTTAAACTCTTAATTTGACAAAGTCCTTCAAAGACTGTTCTCATTTGAGAGCTGGACCTTTTGTCCTCATGGCATAATATGGAACAGGGACCTGTCCCTCTTGCACAGGATCTTAATTGAAGCTGGCCTTGCTGAATTGGGTGCGGGCCAGGCACTGCTAATTTCCCCTCCTACTGGGCTTCTTAATCACTCTGCCCTAAGAAGACTTTGGGAAGTGATTGGATTTCTTGCATGATTGTTCCTAAGGATGCTGTACTTGCGTATCTCCTCAGATATTGTTTTATTGTACTTTCACCTATAGTTCCTAAATCTGTGGAAGAAGGCAAGATTGTCCATCATAAGGCAGTAGGGTTGTATTTACTCATGAAACCGATACTTGTAAACTGATACTTACTCCCCTCTTTTGTTAGCCTAGTCTGGCAAAATGACACATCTCTTGTGAATTTATTTACTGTGAAAGCAAGTGGGGTGGGAGGGTAGGATGGAAGGTGACAGTGTTTTCAATGAAGATAAAGAAGGATTAATGAGAATAACAGTCACAGAGTTCAGTAGAATTAAAACATCGTGAAGCATCTTCCTAGCCAGTTTGCCATTTTAGAGATTGCTGTACCTAGATTTGTAACAATAAAATCAATCAATTCCAAGATTTAGTGACTGAGTCCCTAATTTTTTTTTTTGGCTATGTCGGGTCTTTGTTGAGGTACGTGGGATCTTTTATTGTGGCACGCAGGCTTCTCTCTAGTTGTGGCATGCGGGTTTTCTGTCTCTAGTTGTGGTGCACGGGCTCTGTAGCTGTGGTGCGCAGGGTCCAGGACGCGCGGGCTCAGTAGTTGTGGCACGCAGGCTTACTTGCCCCGTGGCATGTGGGATCTTAGTCCCCCAACCAGGAATTGAACCTGCATCCCCTGCATTGGAAGGTGGATTCTTTACCACTGGACCACCAGGGAAGTCCCTGAGTCTGTAAGATCTTAAAGGGGGCAGACATTTGCCTAAGTAGTTAAATCTCAGTTAAATTTTAGTAGCATGATCTAACTATATGCAGAGGAGCAGAGAAAGAACCAGGTAAGGTCATTTGTATCTAGAAAGTATCTTGCAGTATAAGTAGCAGATCGAAATCTGGCACATTCAGGAAAGTGTGGAAGCTGGAGTTAGGCTGGGTAGCTAATTTAAAATCGTGTAGCCTTAGGTGAGTGGTTCTCTTCAAGCCTTAGTTTCCAAAGCGATGTGGAAAGCATTTGGTACAATTCCTGGCAAAGAGTAAGTGCTCAAAATGTCAGATGCTGTTATTACGTGCATGACCCCAAATAGGGTCTCATCTGCATCCAAGGACTTTTATAATTCCTCCTTAATTACCTAGTTCCCTAACGAAAATGCTGGTTAAGACTTTCCTGGTGGTCCAGTGGTGAAGAATCCACCTTCCAGTGTAGGGGACGCAGGTTCGATCCCTGGTCAGGGAACTAAGATCCCACATGCCGCAGGGCAGCTAAGCCCGGGCACCACAACTATTGAGCTCACGCGCCTCAATGAGAGAGCCTGTGTGCCGCAAACAACATAGCCCACGCGCCCTGGAGCCCGCACGCCACAACTAGAGAGAAGCCTGAGTGCCACAACTAGAGAAAGCCCATGCGCCACAACAAAGAGCCTGTGCACTGTAACGAAAGATCCCGCATGCCTCATGCCTCAACGAAAATACCATGTGCTGCAACTAAGACCCTGACGCAGCCAAAAAAAAACAAAAAAACAAAAAGTGGGAAAAAATAAGGAAAATAAATAAATATTAAAAAAACCCTGCATGTGGATCTTTTATTATAACTGATATTTTCTTGGTTGGGTGAAGGGCCTTTTATAAGTAGCCCTTTCAGCGACACACAGGAAAAAGTGTCAGAATTAGCACGGCAATTTTAGAGAAAAATGTAGGTCATGTGTTATTTAAGACATACCAACTATTGGTATAAGGCAATTTAAAAGGGAAAACAGGGCTTCCCTGGTGGCGCAGTGGTTGAGAATCTGCCTGCCAATGTAGGGGACACGGGTTCGAGCCCTGGTCCGGGAAGATCCCACATGCCGTGGAGCAACTAAGCCCGTGCGCCACAACTACTGAGCCTGCGCTCGAGAGCCCATGAGCCACAACTACTGAAGCCTGCGCGCCTAGAGCCCGTGCTCCGCAACAAGAGAAACCACCACACTAAGAAGCCCGTGCGCTGCAACGAAGAGAAGCCCCCGCTCGCTGCAACTAGAGAAAGCCCATGTGCAGCAACAAAGACCCAACGTGGCCAAAAATAAATAAAATAAATTAACCCCCCCCCAAAAAAAAATGAATAAAAGGAAAAATATTTTACCAGGAGCAGAATTTTTATTTGGTGTAGATAAAACATGTGAAGGGAACAGAAGAAAACTGGAATGAGGCAGGTGTCAATACTGGGAAATTCTGACAAAGCCAAAAAAAGAAGAGCCAAAAAAAATTATGAGGAACCAACCTTGAGGAGTAACTGAGTGCTGTTTGGGGATCTTTCAGGTTCCTGCATCTAGTACTTAGTGTTGCTGAGAGGATGATTCTTATATTTCCCATATAGCTGTTCTCCTCATGTCAATATTCAAACAAAACTAGGGCTTAAAACTATAACTAGAGTTCTCTTCTGAGACATTTTCTCTCTGTAACATTTCTCTCTTTCCCACAATCAGGTGAAAATGAAATCCTTGCATCTCTGCATGCCATTTCCAGCAAGAACCAGATCTGGAGATCATATATTGGCATGGGCTATTATAACTGCTCAGTGCCACAGACAATTTTGCGGAACTTACTGGAGAACTCAGGATGGTAATGTATTTCTTGATGAAAAACAGGAGTGCTGTGATTTGATTTGCATGACTCTTTCTGTGTCCCCACCCCCCAAAGCCTCAGCACTTGCCCACTGACACCCATACTCTAGTGCTATCCCTAACCTGCAGGAACCTACCTGGCTTTCTCTGGCTTGGGAGATTTCCTTACTCAAATGTAGAGGACTTAGAAGCTTCTTTCTACTTTTATTCCCATAAAATAATCTAGAGCTCAAAATTGTGGGTGCTGGGCATCTCTTCCTCTTGCTGACTCCGTGTTTGTTCTCAGTGAGCGTTTTTGAGCAAGATATCAAACCTGCAGGTGGGCAGATTCAGGGCTTTATTCTTTGGAGACACTAGGATTTTAGGCTGTGCGAGATTACTCAGTGAGTCAAAATCTTGGTCCATTGTCTTCTCTCGGGATTTTAGGAGCTACAGTTAACTATACCCCCCTCCTCTGCTCCCTGCCCCAAACCAATATTCTGGGTTTATGACCAACTGAAAAAAGAAGACATTGTATCAGGTAGATGGAGATGAAAATGTTAGCTTTATTACTTAGCACTTTGTAGAGAAAGAGAACATGTGTATTCTGTGAACAGGCTCTTCTAGAAACAATCAAAGACAAGGCTGAGCTGTTGATGTTACTTGTTCTGCCGCCACCTCACCTATCAGATAACTCTCGTTCCTAGTCCTCTAGGGGGTGGGGTAGGGGGTGTTCTTGTCCCTGCCCACTCTGGCTGCCACAGGTTGTGCAAAATGAAAATGTTTCTCCTGCACTTGAGGAAAACTTCCATGCGATCTTGCTTTTCCATTCCTGTTTGCTGTATGATAGAAAGAAGGAAACAGAGGTTCATGTCCTAGTACACACTAAACAATAAAACACCTTGGGTACTTCTTAACGGGCAAAGACCATGGCTTCAAAGGTGCCTGAGAGCAGATCAGAGCACCTGCTTCTTCTGCCCACTGGAAAATATTGTCTGATGATGGAGGAGGAAAGATGGGGACCCCTGGGCCTTTCTTTCTCTGTTTTTGGATCAGTGCCATTGTATACACCAGCATCTTTGAATTGAAACTTTATTTCAACTGATAACCTTATCTCCAAAGGAATGTGTGCACTTACCATCTCTAGCGTAGAAACAAACCAAGCCTGGGAAGGCTTTGATACTTCCTGGGTGATTTTTTTTTTTTTTTTAAGTTGGTTGGTGTACGAGGTAAATTTAATTTTTAGTAGGACCATTATTATGCAAGGACAGAGTAAGTGATTGCCTCAGCAATTCAAAGGTATTTATAGCAAGATGCAGAGACTATCTTTTAGGTTAGCATATAGAAAAAAAATCAACTTTAGTAAAGGGAATGTGGACCCCCCATGGGAAAGCACGGAATTGCCTCCTTTGAAATACTAAGTACGCGCTCCACAGCAATATACCTTAAACATTTGCTGAACACTTCACATCTGTTTTAAAAATAGGTGTTATTTAATAAAATTCTGTCAGAGTTAATTTGAATCAAGTGACCAAAATTCTTATTTCAGTATAATTGCCTCATATAAGAAGCTGTCCACCTGCCATCCTATGACAGACTATTGAGACATCTGTTAGTCCATTTTTTTCCTCAAAAACAGAAGTAAGGGCCTTCCCTGGTGGCGCAGTGGTTGAGTCCGCCTGCCGATGCAGATGCAGGGGACACGGGTTCGTGCCCCGGTCCGGGAAGATCCCACATGCCGCGGAGCGGCTGGGCCTGTGAGCCATAGCCGCTGGGCCTGCGCGTCCGGAGCCTGTGCTCCGCAACGGGAGAGGCCACGGCAGTGAGAGGCCCGTGTACCGCAAAAACAAACAAACAAAAAAAACCAGAAGTAAGTGCCTGCCTGAGAAGACTCAAAGCTACCCCCCAAATTTACTGTTTGTTCTAGTCAACTCCTGAAGATGGGGTCCGTGTCTCCCAGCTTCTGTGGTTGGGTAGGAGCCTAACTTCTATGAGCACCAGTTAGCAAACCCAGATGGGTTTCATGTGGACGGCCCCCTTCCTGTTTTTGTAAATTTTCATTTCCCAGACTCTACTGAGTCCCTGCTCATTCCCCTCCCGACTCCCTCATTCTCCCTTTAAAACATCTAGTCACCTCTAAAATACACACACACACACACACACACACACAGAGAAATATGAACCCCCTCTAAGATTACAAACTTTGACAATTTTGACATTTTAGAGAGTAAACCTGATACCCTACGTAATTTTAAACTTCGCACAAAGTGTTCTTAGTACTAGGAATAGAGGTACTGTTTTGACTACTTACCATATGTGAACTTACACTCTGAACTTACACTCTGTTTGAACTTACACTCAAACATAGCGGTTTCTGTGTGTTTGAGTCTTGTGAGTGAATATGTGTTGGGCCGTCAGCACAGCGGGCCTTCATCTGGTGCCTAAAGCCCAGACCTGTAGGTCTGAGGACCAAGGCATATGTGTGGCTTAGGGCATAGGTTAGACTATGTGGGAAGCACAGCGCTTTTGCATCTTCTGTCTGCTTTTGCATAAGTGCAAAGGTAGTCCTGGTTGATGAGGGTGTTTGTCCTAGATGCAGTGATTCACGTCCCATCATTATAGAAGCCGAATCTGTTGGCCTAATCACTGTTGCATTGCTTTTGGTTTCAATATGCTCCATTTCTTTATTAATAGGAGAACAGGAATGAACTGTCAAAGAAGTAGTTTTTCTGCTTTGGGTGTATGTGAGTTTGTGTGTGTGTGAACGCGTGGGAAGGTATTTGTATTGCTGAGGGCTTCTTTTCCCCTGGGGTATTGGTAAAAGTTTGGATGGTAAACTCCAAGTTTGATTTGAAAAGCAAATGGCCTGTCTCCTCCTTCTTACAAAACAAGCCTCCCAAGTACATGAATGGGCTGCAGCATTCCAGCCATCTGAATACTGGCCAGCTGTCTTCGCTCTTGGTGGCCGCACAGAATATTCACCATATTGCTTCCTGGCTGTGAGTGGATATGTTCATTTACTTTAGGATCCGCCAGGGTTTTGAGAGGGAGACAGTGTTGTTCTTTGCTTTTCAGTTCTGGTTTTGGGGTGCATTTTAAGTTTTGTTCCTTTGCATTCTCCGAAAGCTGATCTGAAACAGAGGGTGGTACTGGCCCTTGCCAGCCCTGATAGGGAGGGCTGTGCACATGAGCTTGGGTAGACTTCACATTATCACCCTTCTGAATGGTTGCCATAGAGATGGAACCAACAAATTCCGGTGACGTGAGGTGAAAATCAATGGGTAACATAGCCTCCAGAGAATACAAACATTTGGGCTCTTACAAGAAGATTTACATTAGGCCTAGAATATATTTTGTAGGGTCTACTTTTTGAAATTTTTGATTGCTGATAATATCAGTTAACTAATATCAAAACACTTACATTTCCCTTGTGACTATTTCTGTTTTGTGTAATGTTGGCACTGGGATTAAATGAGAGAATCTCATGAATGTTTGTCTTCCTGCAACTCCCCCACGCCTTTTTTGGTTAAAATCGTAGAGAATACTGATTATTTTGGAATAAATGTTAATGCCATGTTGAATATATCATGCATCCTTTTTGAGCGGAACAGAATGCCTTCTTGGATATGCAGATACTTTTTGGGTTTTAATATTAAAATATATCTAGAAACAGAAATCAATTGAGTTAAATATCAGTTGGAACATAGAAGTTGTAGATTACAGACATTTTCTTGATCACTGTTTTGCCTGGGGCAACTAAACCCTTTTATGCAGGATGGCAGGCCCTGTGCTAGCATTTTTCTCCTGAAATGAGGGTTTATTTAGTATCTCCAGGCTTGAGACTCACCAATCCATGTCCATTAATAGATGATTTTTAAGACCATTTATGTCTGTTTATTAGTGTAAAAAAAAAAAGTGTGGATTATAAAAGAAGTTTACAAGTAAAAGAAGTAGGATCATGTATTTGTCATCTTTGTAGGAAAAGTTTTAAAGCTCTCTCCTTTTAGCAGTGCTAATTAGCATCAGCCTAAGCTTGGACTTTGAGCAAGGAGAGAAAGGCTGAACAAGGGAGGGGGAATATTAAATCCCAAAGTCTGTGAGCAAAGGAATAGCATGGTCTCAGGTATGAAGGACTGTGTTTGGGAGGTTTGGGGCTTTTTCTTGCAGGTAACTGGGGAGCCATCCCCATTTGAGCAGGAAAGTCAAACACATACATTTGCACCAGAAATATTAGATAATTTCCTATTTTAAGCACTGTGCTAGGCTAGTAAGGCATCAAAGGGGTGGATGTAGGATGTCGGAAGGAAGACTAATGGCAACTGGTCATCATTTGGGCCTAAAAAAATCTGGACTTTTTACCTTGAGAATTGGCATGATAGTGGTAACTTTGAAGGAATTTAAGAAAAGAAACTACCTTGTTTGGTGATCTGGTTGGAGGAAGGATAGGGAGTGTGATGCTGACATGGGATGTGATGAATTTCCAGAAAGAAATTGTTTCCAAGTAGAAATATCTAATAATATCTGAATAGAAGTATGAATAAATCCTTTAGGAGAAGTCTATGAGTGTTTAAAAAAAATCTTCTAAGACCGGAACAGAGGATAAAAACTTTTCAAAACAACCAGCATTCGGGAAGGACTTAACCATTTCCAAAATGCTTTATGTATGTTAATTGGACTTGAGTGTTAAGATAATATCTGATATGGGTGATGTTATCTCCATTGATGGCCAAGAGAAATTGTCAGGGAGAGGTTTAGTGACTTGTCCCAGTTCACAGGTAATAAATTATAGAATTTAGGTTGACACCCAGAGCTTCTTAATACTTAGCATTGGTGAAGATACAGGGAAACCTGTGAATCACTGTATTACTTAAGGGAATACAGAATGGTGTGAACTGTCTAGAGAAAAACATGGCATATGTACCGAAAGATTTGAAATTGATTACTGTACACCTTATGATTTGAAATTCCATATCTAGGGATTTATCCTAAGGAAATAATACAAAGATAAGGATGTTCACTGTTATGCTATTTCTAATATTTAAAAACCAAAATTAATGTTCAATTTGAGGGGACTTGTTAAATTATGATAAATGATTTAATAACATAAAACAATCAAATGCATATTTCTGAATAATATTTAAAGTTATTAGAAATTGTCCATGGAATAATGTTAACAAAAAAAAAATCGAGACACAACTTTATACAGAGTACCATCTTACTTTGAAGTATAAATATGATTGTGATGTCAAAAAGAGACTGAAATTAATTAACCTGATTGTGGTGGTCATTTCACAAAGTATACATATATCAAAACATCATGTTGTACACTTTTAATATACACAGTTTTGTGAATCATACTTCAGTAAAGCTAGAGAAAAAAAAAGAATGTATATAGAAAAGTCACAAATTAACAAGAAAAGGGGCAAACAACACAACAGAAAAATGAGCAGAAAAAGAAAAATAAAAAAGACTGAAAAGAAATGTACCTAAATGTTAACTATTGTTATCCTGGATTTCTGGGATTATGGGTGATTTTATTTTCTCAGTAGTTATCTCAATTTTCCAACTTTTTGCAAAGAGCATGCATCATATAATCAGCAAAAAAAGGTTGTAAACATGTTCCTGACACACAGAAGATGGTTAATAAATGGTAGCCGATGTCTTTAAAATTTAGAACATATAATAAAAAGAAAGTAAAAATTATGGTTAATCTTGCCACCCAGAGAAAATCACTGTTTACATTTTGGTTCACGTTTTTACAAATAGGATTGTAGTATTTTACATTTTACTTTTTAAATTAATGTATCATGAGCATCTTCTATGTCAGAAAATATTTTTACATATCATTTTCACAATCCATAGTATTATATGCATATTGTCTAATTTATTTAATCATTTTCCTTTTAATAGAGAGTTTGTTGCACATTTTTCAACATTCTGTTCAGTACTGTGATGAATTCTTTGGATGGGCTAGCTGATACATATGCATGCTTGTTTGCATATGTGTGTGTATAAGTCTGTGTGTCTGTCCGTATGCCAAATAATGATTGTGAGTAAAATGAAAAGTTCATGTTAGCCAGGCTATCTAAGCATATGTCTTTGTGGTGGCAGACTATGCTGTGTATGAAGATCTTATCTGATCTGAGGTCACAGTGGCCCCTTGCCTGTGCCTTTTGTGTGCCATTTCTGCTTAGATTCCCTTTCTACTTAGTCTACATTATGTATTGTGTGCTTCATTTATTCCAGTTCACCACCCGCTTAGAATTTGGCTAACTGATTTACAGTTGCTAAGCCAGGCTGTTCAAGGAATTAATTGAAGCAAAAACATACTCTGCTGTATACACACACACACACACACACACACACACACACACACACACAACTATACCAATGAAAGTTTCAGGGAAATTATTTCAAAAGTCTTGACATTGTACTGCTTGGTAAGGCAATCTCCCCCATTCTATTCCCCCTCAAAGGTAAGAAGACATTGATTTCAAAGCCTTCAGAAAAGAAAAAAGAAAATAAAAGGTGGAAATATCCTGAATGTGATTACCAGATCAGGAGAGGAAGGAAAAGGGGTTGAAAAAAATTTTTTTTCCTAATACTCTTCAGGCTTGGAAGAACGAAAACAATAGGGATATGAAACAGCGTTACTCTCGTGTGGGAGCATAGACCCCAATCTGACACACTTTGGTAGTACAGTAATGGGTTCTTGGTGAAAAGATAGCAGCTCTTTCCAAGTCCTCAGCCACCCTCTCTCCTCTTATTTTCTTTTCTTTAAAATATTTATCACTCTGAAATGATCTTATGTATTTTTTATCTCTTTTTTCCCCACTACAATATATTTTCCTTGAGATCAGGGACTGGTACCCATCTTGCTTATGATGTGCCACCAGAACTAATCATAGTTTTTGGCACTTAGTAGACATGCAGTAAATATTTGTAGGATGAGTGAATGAATGAAGGGATGAAAAAGTGATGAAGTCACTAAGTGGATTAACTCTCATACCTAAAGACACATTTTTGGCTAATAACTGGAGGATTTTAAGGTTAGAATTCATGTCTATGCTGCCTTCGAACCACTAGTATTCTTGAATTTTGATAGGTATGGAGTTTACTTCCATAGACTTTTAATAAGTGGATAGTGACAATTCTTTTTTTTTTTTTTTTGGCTATGCCACGTGTCTTGTGGGATCCTAGTTCCCTGACCAGGGATTGAACCCGGGCCCTTGGCAGTGAAAGTGCGGAATCCCAACCACTGGACCGCCGGGGAATTCCCAACACTTCTTAAATAGACCTCTATTAATTTTTTAGGAGCGCATAGAACTTCTGGTCAGTATAAACAAAGCTCCTCTCCCCCAAAACCAAAAGTTTCGAGTATTAGGTATTAGATTCTTGGATACTTTTCTATTGTGAACCATGGTTGTGGTGAGCTTTTTTCTTTTTTTTTATTCTGTTTATAATACCATAGACAGTCTCAAGTGGATTTTAAGAGCCAACTTACAATACAGCATACTTATGATAAGATCATTAAAATAGAAATGTAAGATTAAGTAATTTAGAGGGATAGAAAAGTAAGTACTGATTATCCCCAAAGGATAATATTGTTACTATGATTTAATGCTGAGTTTCCTTACAAAAGAGAAAAAGGAAGCTTATTGTTGTATTATATGATTCTCAAGAGAGGCAAACTTAATTTTCAGATACTGAATTCTAAAATGAAGGTATTTCATGAGCTTTTTTTGAATAGTGGATTCACAGTTTGGACATAGTGTTTTGGGTCCCTTACAGGATCACCCAGTATACTCCGTACCAGCCAGAGGTATCTCAGGGGAGACTGGAGAGTTTACTCAATTACCAGACCATGGTGTGTGACATCACAGGCATGGACATGGCTAATGCATCCCTGCTGGATGAGGCCACCGCGGCTGCAGAGGCAATGCAGCTCTGCCACAGGTGAGAGGCCCAGCATGAGATTCCCTCAGGGGGAGGGACATCTTCCAGTCTCACAACTGCTGTGCAGGCGGGGGTTTCCCTGCTCCGGTCAGTGCCCAGTGACTTTGTCCCTCTTTCCCTCTCTCTCTCTCTTTCTCTTCCCCGCCCCCTCTTTCTGTCTATCACACACACACACATTTGTGTCTATGAGATATGTTGTATCAGTATCATTATACCAGTTAGTTGAGGTAACAAACAGATGTGAAATATAGTGCATTTAAAAAGCCACTGCTGTTTATTGTTTAACATTATGTAAGAAAGACGTTTTGCTCTTCACATACATGATGTTAAGTTCAGGGATGTTACAGCAACTCCGAGATAGTATCAAGGACCAATGCCCCTCTCTCTTTACCATCGTTAGTGCGAGGCTTTCATCCTGTGGACTGAAGAAAAGCATACAACCTAAAAGTTGCAAGTTAAGTTTTATTTGGGGATCTTACTAAGGATGAGAGCCCCGGAGACAGTCTCTCACACAGCTCTGAGGAACTGCTCTGAAGAGGTCAGGGAGGAGCCAGAACATGTAGGAGGTTTTTGCTGGGAAAAAACCATGCAGTTGAACATTAAAAGATTACTGCTAATCACAAAGAACAGACATCTCAGGTTAATGTTAGTGCTTTTCAATATACGGGAAGATGCAAGAGTTTGGGCTCATTGAAATTATTCCTTAGAAATGCATCTTAACTATCTTGGGCCAGTCTCCAAAGCAAATAATACTTCCTGTTTTTTTCCATCCTGAGTTCCTCTCAGGGTGCACCATCAGTGGGCAGCTGCAGTGGCTAATGGCTTGATCCTTGTAGAACTGGGATGGCGGGCAACATTTTTTGTTTACTGCAATGGCAGACAACAGTCCCGTCCACAGCCCTCCTGGTCACAAGATGACTGCTGGAGCTCTAGCCATGACGCCTGCATTCAGGAAGAAGTAAAGGGTACTTCTAGCGAAATAAGCTCTCTTTAAATAGTGTTTTGGAAGCCTCCACTCAACAATTTACTTATGCTTCATTGACCACCCCTACCTACAAGTGACCTGTGGAAATGCAGTTTTTTTCAGATGGGCACATTGCTGCCTCCTACATATTGGGGTTCTGTTACTATGGGTGACAGGGAGAATGGATATTGGGTAGGAACTAGCAATCTGCAATGTAATATGTAAATAAGCATCACCCTGTTTTATGAAGAATATTCTTCTCAGGTTGTATTTAATGTTTTATAGCTTTTCTTTTTCTATTTAACAATATTTTGTGAACATTTCCCCATTTCTTTAGTCAGCTTTCTAAACTGTGGCTTTTATTGGCTACATAGCAATATTCATTTGCATGGAAGTACCATAATTTATGTAACCTCACCTCTATTGTTATACATTGTTTATTCCCATTTTTCACTGTTATTAATGGTATTTTTGTGCATCTGTAGGATAGATCTTTGTCAGAAGTTCTGATTATTTCCTGAGGATGCATTTCTAGAAGTAGAATTGCTGGGTCATGGTTAACTTTGGTTAGTATTTAGTTGATAATCATTCTTCAGCTCCTCACCTTCTTTTGTTCATTGCCTCGAGAATACATTTGAGTTTACCTTCCCTCCAGGTAGAATTCTCATGTAGATGGTCATCTGGTAGGGAAATCTGCCCACATTGATGATGTGTCTGTCTGAGGTTTTGGGGGGCTGGCCCTAGTCGACTGACTGGGTTGACTGCAGTGGCTAATGGTTTGATCCTTGTGGAACTGGCGGGTAACATTCTTTGTTTACACTCTGAATGCCCATGTAAGTCTCTTTCTTGGCTTCCACAGACTTGAGGGGTGGTTAAATGGATTCTGGTACCAATTCCAGTCAGGGAGGGGGGTTCCTCTCACACCTGAAAACAAATGAACAAACATCTGCTGGTGTCCAACAACCCCCTCCAACTCAGGGTGCCATTCTCAAGTACAGGTTGTTACCTGTATTCAATCGACTGGAATTTTCATGACCCCCTCCTCAGAGCAGCGCACAGAACTCAGAGAAACATTTTACTTACTAGAACCAGTTTATTATCAAGGAACAGCCAGGCAGAAGGGATGCATAGGGCTGGGTATGTTGAAAGGGTCAGAGCTTCCATGCTCCCTCAGAGATCCCCATTCTTCCCAAATCTCATGTTCACCAGTCCAGAAGCTCTCCAAATCCTACCCTTTGGGTTTTTTATGGAGGCTTCACTACATAGACACGAGTGATTAAATCTTGGCCATTGGCAATTGATTCAGCCTCCAGCCCCTCTTCCTTCCCTGGAGCTCAGGGTGTAGAACTGAAAGTTCCAACCCTCTAATCACACGGTTGGCTCCTTTAGCAACCAGCCCTCATTCCTCTGTGGGATGCAAAAGTCACCTCATTAACATTACAAATGACACCTTGATCACTTTTCACACTTAGAAAATTCCAGTGGTTTTTGGGAGCTGTGAGCCAGGAACTGTGGACAAAGACCAAATATATATGAGAAATATATCTTGGTCATCTGAATGACCAAATATTTACTTCCTATAAATCACAGTGTTGCAGTTGTGAACCTCGAACTCACTGGGCAGATATGGAGACCTCTAAGTTCCAGGCCCTTCTGCTTCCCAAGCAGTCCCAGGGGTAGGTTCAGGCTCTTCTTCCTGTTATCTTAGGGACAGCAAGGGGGTGGGGGGGAGAATGCCGTTCCTAGTCTAAGCTTTCACTTCTTTTCACCTTCTCTCTTCCTCATCCACCTGCTGCTGCTCTCCCATCCCCCACCTCCATCCCCTTTTTCTGAGTAAAAGCTTTCATCTCACGCACAGGCTCAGCGGCCATGGCTCATGGGCCTAGCCACTCCACGGCATGTGGGATCTTCCCGGGCCGGGGCACGAACCCGTGTCACCCCTGTCCCCTGCATCAGCAGGCGGACTCTCAACCACTGCGCCACCAGGGAAGCCCAGTAGCTGAGACCTTTGTAGTTGATGGGTCAGGGGTTCTCTCCTGAGCTTAATAGAGTCACTGGGCAACGCACACTCTGCAAGTGCTGGATTTGCTTCCTCTCTCTTAATTCTCATACCTTCCATCCTGCATTTAATTTTACCCTTGAGAAGCAACCTTGTGTTTCTTATCTTTAGGAAATGTTTTCTTCAATAGCAGTGTTTTTGTTTCCATCCGAGGTCATTTAGGCTTAGATAGCTCTTCTCTCCAGAGTTATTTAGATATAGACTTTGAAAGGCTTTGTGTATTGGACAGTTAATTTTGTATCTCCCAACTCTACCTACTCTATTGAATTTATGCTTATTATAAGAATAATACCTGTTCATAGTGGAAAATTTCAAATAGTAGAGAAGGATATAATGACAAGTACACCTTGCTGTTTCTCAGTCGCATTCCATTGAGAAACTTGCTGTTAACTGGTCGTGTGGATCTTCCTTTTTATACAATATACTTGTATCCTCCACTCATTTCTTTTTACCCAGATGCGCTTGTGATACACAAAATGTTCTGCATCCCCATCAGTTTTGTTTCCTGAAACTATGGACTGTTAGAGAACTTCCTGAATTTGGGTCTTAGACCCAACGCAGTTCCTTCCATAGCTGTGTGGCACCTGCACGTATCACAACCTATCTGAGTTCTTCTCCGCTTCCTTTGAATGAGGACACTCGGTTTAGATAATCTCTAAATGCTCCTTTGGCAATAAACTTCTCAGATGATTTTATCTAGAAGACTTAGTTTTTTGTTCCTACTCGCACCTAATCACTACCCTTTTCTTTCTTTTTCCTCATAGTATATATATATATATATATATATATATATATTTAACATCTTTATTGGAGTATAATTGCTTTACAATTGTGTGTTAGTTTCTGCTTTATAACAAAGTGAATCAGTTATACATATACATATGTTCCCATATCTCTTCCCTCTTGCGTGTCCCTCCCACCCTCCCTATCCCACCCCTCTAGGTGGTCACAAAGCACCGAGCTGATCTCCCTGTGCTGTGCTGCTGCTTCCCACTAGCTATCTGTTTTCCGTTTGATAGTGTATATATGTCCATGCCTCTCTCTCACTTTGTCACAGCTCACCCTTCCCCCTCCCCATATCCTCAAGTCCGTTTTCTAGTAGGTCTGTGTCTTTATTCCCATCTTGCCCCTAGGTTCTTCATGACCTTTTTTTTTTCTTAGATTCCATATATATATGTTAGCATACGGTATTTGTTTTTCTCTTTCTGACTTACTTTACTCTGTATGACAGACTCTAGGTCCATCCACCTCACTACAAATAACTCAATTTCGTTTCTTTTTATGGCTGAGTAATATTCCATTGTATATATGTGCCACATCTTCTTTACCTCATAGCATATTTTTAAAAATTTAAACCAGTTTGAGATTGATTTTGCTAAATGGGGTTAGAATGGGAATTGGATTTCAGTGAAATTCTAATCAGGAAATGTCACTATTAGTTATTAATGACTCATTATTTTTTATCCTATGCTCAGACTTTCCTTAAGTACCATCTTTGCTTTGCATTCTTAGACGATACTCTGATTTCTTTAATGTTCATGTTCGAATTGGGATTTTTCTTTTCAACAGACACAACAAGAGGAGGAAGTTTTTTGTTGACCCTCGTTGCCACTCACAGACAATAGCTGTCGTCCAGACTCGAGCCAAGTAATTAATTTTATTTGTATTTTGAACTCAGGGATAATATTATGCTCATCTCTGCTGTTTCTTCCTCTGATTTCCAAACTGACTGGAGTTGAACCTGGTTTAAGCTGGGGTTATTGAATTTTACTTTCCCTCCCACTTTCTTCCCATGACCTCACTGGTGAGTAAGATGTGTCAGAATTCAGGAAAAAATACACAGTGGATTTGGTCACTTTTGCTTTATATTTTACAAAAAGAACACATTGTTTTGTGTTCTTTTTTACAAAAAAGAAAATTAATATTAAAATAGTTTCAACAGTGTTTTGAAAAGTTTGAAAAGCACAGGGTAAAAATGGAACTCTCACACAACTGTTCTGATTTTGTATATATTCCTGCAAACATGGCCCATAGGGAATCCACATAATACCTAGTTTAGTATGATGTAGCTGAAAGCAGATTATATTTTTTAAGTGCTGTAATCAGATAAAACAGACACAGCACAACTACCGCATGTGGGTGTGTTTATTTACTTTCTCCTTGTAAAAGCCTTTCCCCCAATCCCATACCACCATTCCTTCAGAAGTGGTTTTCTGACATATGATAGGAATTAGATAGTTTCAGGACCCTAAGGAAGGTCTTCTTCCCTGTCTTACTGAGGTTTTCCACTCACCTAAGACCTATCCAAGGTCAAAGTGGCAATGGCTGTGTAGTTGCAGGTAGTGGTTGTTTAGCCCTAGGAAGGCATGTTTCTGCTCTTGTCTCAGGCACAGGTTCTGACAGGAAGGTGGGAGGGGAGGTGCTAACAGTGGCTGCAGGTGAGTTGGTGTGAAGCACAGTTACCACTGAAGGGCTGGGTGTGGGATGGGGGTGTGTGCGTGTTGGGATAGGGTAGGGGGTGGGGGCACTGAGGAAGGACACAGAATACGCATGCTCTAACGTGGAAAAGAAACTGTAGATGATTTGACTTCCCCTGTAAACCAAAAGCATGGTGGTTCTTTGTCTTCTGTCTTTTCAGGTATGCCGGAGTCCTCATTGAGCTGAAGTTACCCCATGAAATGGACTTCAGTGGAAAAGATGTCAGTGGAGCGCTGTTCCAGTACCCAGACACCGAGGGGAAGGTGGAAGACTTCACGGAGCTCGTGGAGAGAGCCCATCAGGCTGGGGTAGGCAAACCTCTCCTTGTGGGGGGTCCATGGAGGTGTGTCTCAATTTTGAATTATTATTGTTACTCTTTTTAGCATGATTTTTAAAAAAAGTTTGTTTAATTTCTTTTTGGCTGCGTTGGGGCTTCGTTGCTGCGCGCGGGCTTTCTCTAGTTGCGGTGAGCGGGAGCTACTCTTCGTTGCGGTGCAAGGGCTTCTCGTTGCGGTGGCTTCTCTTGTGCGGAGCACAGGCTCTAGGCATGCAGGCTTCAGTAGTTGTGGCTCGCCGGCTCTAGAGCACAGGCTCAGTAGTTGTGGTACACAGGCTTAGCTGCTCTGAGGCATATGGGATCTTCCTGGACCAGGGCTGAACCCATGTCCCCTGCATTGGCAGGCGGATTCTTAACCACTGCACCACCAGAGAAGCCCTATTATTGTTTCTCTTTTTGGTGTGTTTTAATTTCCACACCTTTATCACTTGGTAAGGTAAAACTGCCTCCTTCCAACCTCCTTTTTTCAAGTTTGTTTTCTTCACTGGTTCCTGGCACATAGTAGGCACGCAGTAAATATTTTAAATGAATGAATGAGTAAATAAATTTCACAGGATACGGAACCAACTCTGCCAGTCTGCCTATAATGGAGATAATTTGCTATCCTTCCACTGGTCTCAGGGAAGGTCACAACCTTGTCCATTTTCTCTTGTTTCCTTTCTAGAGCTTGGCCTGCTGTGCTACTGACCTTCTAGCTCTGTGTATCCTGAGGCCTCCCGGAGAATTTGGGGTGGACGTTGCCCTGGGCAGCTCACAGAGATTTGGGGTGCCTCTGGGCTATGGCGGACCACATGCAGCCTTTTTTGCTGTCAGAGAAAGTTTGGTGAGGATGATGCCTGGAAGAATGGTGGGGGTAACAAGGTAAAGCAGCTCATGTTTCTTCCCTTTTATTGTGGTTATGGGTTTTCCTGCTCCTTCTCTTGATCACAAAAGTTGTTGATTTCTCTTTGAATTTAACTGGGCCATTTTGGGTCGAATTTAACTGGGCCATTTTGGGTCGATTAAGGAAATGTAAACATAGAGTCAGAAGAGAGAATGTATTTGGGGTATGAATGTTTGGGGTGTCAATGCCCTACCTACTCCCCAACCCCATCCCAACACACCCCACACACACACACACACACACACACACACACACACACACACATCCCATTATCCCATACACATACACACACACCCCCATTATCCCATACCTGGCCTTTCTCAAATGCCATGTACCTCTTCTCGAATGCCATGAATTTGTGCATATTTGGAAAAGTATGTTTACAATTTATAGCATATTTGTATTGAAGTCATAGAAATGAATTTTAGATTGATGAAAGTCTTGAGAGACTGAATATTTTAAGTGTGTTTTATATCTAACTAGTTTCTTTCTCAAAAGTATTAACATGCCACACGGCTATGTAAAGACAAGTGCAATAAGAGATTACCATGCACACATTGGGTGTGACCTACATTATTTCCTAGAGGCCTGCCCTTTGGCCATTTGAGTAATTTCCAAATGTACTTCCTTGAGTGCTTCTTATTGATGAAAATCCTCGGGTTGAGAATTGAGATGAATGCCATGATTATTACTGTGGAACTTTAGCATATTGTTTTTGACCTTTCATAAAGCTGGGCTATTAATGTAAGTGAAGAGTCTGAATTAGTGAATGATGTGCTAGTGATGAGAAGTTCTGAAATACTTACACTTTGTCACATGATGGCAAAAGGCACTTTGCTTTTTAATGTAAAAAATAATAGTTTCTTTAAGTATTCTTACATTACATTTTCTTTCAATGATGTCTCTTCAACAGATGAGATGTGACAGAGGGTTTTCTAATTTAAAAGAGTTTCATATATCAGTTATCATCTTCTGATTTTTGTATTGAACTTCTTACCTTTCTGGAAAGTGGACCTGAGAGTTTGATGAAATAAAGGCTAAGACTGCTGAATCTTTGTGGTTATCTAGATTTTTAATTGTATTAAGAAAGGAGAAATTTTATTAGAGACAAGTGTTAGGTTGTTAACATCCTTTATTTATAGCCATATAGTTGCTTTAGATTTCTAGTATAGAAATTCTGTTTCCTTTGTCGGGTATTTCCCTTTTCTCTGAGTCTGCCAAGAAGCTCAGAGTGAAGTTTAATCCTCAATCACCATCATTTTATTAGGCTGGGTGATTCCTGGAAAATTTTCTTTTAAAGTTCCCAGCTTATTGTATATATCTCAGTGCCTCAAATCCTCAAAGTACAAACTGAAAATTAACAGTCCCCTTTAGAAGAAGATGGTTTGGAAATTGTTTCTTTATGGCCTTGCACCTAAGTAACTTTGCTGAATTCACTTAAAGGTGGGAAGGAAAGAAGCAGTTCTGTTTATGGCAACTCCTGGTGCTATGATGATCTGTACTAACCGGATGTTTTATTCTTGGTCCAGAGATGCCAGTGGAAAAGAAGTGTATCGTCTTGCTCTTCAAACCAGGGAGCAACACATCCGGAGAGACAAGGCTACCAGCAACATCTGTACAGCTCAGGTAGATCACATACCTGACCTGCTCACTGAATGTCTTACAGTCTACAGCAATGAGCTACTTGTTCATTTACTGAGTTGTTGCTTCATTCATCCACGGAGCAGTGTGCACACCAAAAATGTCAAGATCTTGTTGGTAGAGAAGCCTTGTGGTCTTGTCAGAACGCCAATACAATGTATTTTACTGTGGTTCCATGTATGCACACACTTCACCTGTTAGGGTCTCTGGCATTCTTGGCCACAGGGCAGGTCCATTATGGGTGGTGACTGGGGCACCTCCTCTTAGAGCTGAGATGGAGGCCCTCCAGGTTAGTGTGAGGAAGGCAAGGTGAAGGTGCTTGAGGTGACTGTACTGAGGGGATAGTCCAGATTGGCCAGCCGGTGGTGGCCATGGGATACTCTTACTGGGAACTCATGAGAAACATTTCTGAAATGTATGGGACAAAAGAGGAGGAGTTACCTGAATGTTGCCCAATGTCTCAGGTTAGAGGGAGCAGTGTTTTCTGACATCCAGCCAGTTCCTAGGATCAGGTGGAGGACCACTCCTGAGCATATAATGCATTCTCGGTTCTCTTCCATTCGGGGTCAGGGAAAGGGAGAGATCTCACAGATACCCCAGTAGGCAGTGCAGTGTTCTTCCTCTCAGAGCATTGGCTCACAGCACCACCGCCAGCTTTTAGAAGGCCTCTCCAGGGAGGGAGTAGATGATAAGGTCTGCTTATAGTTTGCTCCATATCCATTGGTGGTTGAAATAGTTTCCTCAGTTGGTTTTCCTGTATTATTCTTTTTGTCTCAGGGAGGCGGCTGCTTTTCAGGGAAGAGCTCCTCTAGTATTGCAGGAAGAAGCCAGTTGTCACAAGCTTGTCCTCTGTTGACAGCAAATTGATCTTTATGTGATGCCTTTACTTTCTGTAGTTTACCCTTCATTTGTTGAATTCCCTGCTTACATATCTTCCCTTCCTCTGCTGTTTTCTGCTCATGTTCTTCCAGAACGTATCTTTCTGATCATAAGTGCACTAAGGGCTTTCTGCTTCAAGGTTTGAATTAATTTTCCAGGTTAACTTGGGCATTCTACAATGAGCAAAAGTTACATTCCTACTTCTTTTTTCCTTCCAGTTCATGGATAGCTGATATTTCATTATTTCACTTGGATCATAAGAGGTCTGTGTTTTTCAGCAATGAATAAAATGATGTTTGCCCTAGAGATAGTCATACCCTGTCTTCTCTGATTTTCATTTTCTTATTCTGGAGATTTTCTGACTCTCCATTGTCTATTTCATCTCACGTGTTTCTTCTCATAACTGGTTGCATGAAACAATTGCTTGTGACGCCAGTATCATTTTCTTTGTAGGCCTATAATTATTCTCTTTTGTTCGGAGATGACTGATATTTTTTAAGCTGTTCCTTGAGCACTCTATGTCATTACTCCAGCCTTCTTCTTGTAGCACCTCTTCCATGTTCTTCTCAAGGCTGCCCCATTCCTCTTGAGTGTTGTAGGGTCCACACTGGACTTCTCTTAGTTTTGCATCACTGATGGTGCAGAATTTTTTTTTTTTTTTTTTTTTTTTGCGTTATGCAGGCCTCTCACTGTTGTGGCCTCTCCCGTTGTGGAGCGCAGGCTCCGGATGCGCAGGCTCAGCGGCCATGGCTCACGGGCCCAGCTGCTTCGCGGCATGTGGGATCCTCCTGGACCCGGGCACGAACCTGCGTCCCCTGCATCGGCAGGCAGACTCTCAACCACTGCGCCACCAGGGAAGCCCCGAGAACTTTTTTTTTTTTAATCTCTGAAAACGCATTACTGAATTCTTTAAAAAAAATCTTTCTGTAAACTTGTGACATTTCTACAGGTGTCTGAATTTGCATCATAACTTCTTCTTTATATTCTCTTATTTCTCAACTTCCACCACAGGCTTTCATTAGCTTTTTCTGAAGTCCAGGGGTATTGATGTATAATTTACATTTCATTAGCTCTCTTGTTGAGATTTAACTCTCCATATAATTCACCCATTTAAAGTACACCGTTCAGTGGTTGATAGTATTTTCACAAAGTTGGGTAACCATCACCAGCATTTCATTTCTGGATATTTTTATCACCCTTAAAAGAAACTTGTTCCCATTAAGCAGTCACTTCCTGTCCTTCTCGCCTCCCTTCAGCCCCTGGTGACCACTTATCTCCTTTCTGTCTCTATGGATTTGCCTATTCTGGATATTTCATATAAATGAGATCATACAATATGTGGCCTTTTGTGCCTGGTTTCTTTCATTCGAGATAATGTTTTCAAGATTCATCCACGTTGTAGAATTGGGAAGGAAAAAAAAATTTTTCCGTCTAACCTTCTAGGTTCTTCTAGCTGGTCTAAGAATTAAATTGATATGAGACAGATTAACAGGAGAAAATGACATTTTATACATACATACATATATGAGAGGCTCAGAGACCCCACATACATGAGAGGTTAAAGGACAGAAAAGTAAATAAGGTTATACATGTCATCCTGGGCTAAGGAATAGGATAGGGGCCAGGTGCTTCCAAGCATGGGAGGGCCGTTCACTGGATGATAAGAAGAACAAGATGTTTGGTAATTAGTTGTTTGTTCTGCCATATAGATGGGACCACTTAGATAAAATTTATCTTTGGTAATAACTCCTTTTCTGGGAAAAGTCCTCAATTTAAATTCTTCTGGGCAGTTAAGGGAGGAGCAGTAGTTTCTCTTGAGCCCAGAAGGTCTCCATTGCCTGAACTCAAAATAATCCACATGCTAAAGTGGCAGATGTTAGGGAGGCCTGTTTGGAACCCCTACAGTATCAGGAATCAATACTTCATTCTTTTTTATGGCTGAAGAATATCCCATTGTATGGGTATATCATATTTTGTTAATCCATTCATCAATTGATGGGCATTTAGGTTGCTTCCACTTTGGGGTACTTTGAATAAGGCTGCTATGCACATTTGTGTATAAGTTTTTGTGGGGACATATATTTTCAGTTCTCTTGGGTATATTCCTAGAAATAGAATTGCTGGGTCATTGGTAACTCTATGTTGAACTATTTGAGGAACTTCCAGACTCTTTTCTGAAGTGGCTGCACCATTTTACATTCCCTCCACCAATATATGAGGGTTGTAATTTCTCCACATTTTCACCTGTACTTGTTACTGTTCCTCTTTTTGGTTATAGCTGTCCTAGTGGGTGTGAAGTGATATCTCACTGTGGGATTGATTTGCAATTACCTAATAACTAATGATTTTGAGCATTCTTTCATGATTCACTTTTTTTAAAAATAAATTTATTTATTTTATTTATTTATTTTTGGCTGCGTTGGGTCTTCATTGCTGCACGCGGGCTTTCTCTAGTTGGGGCGAGCAGGGGCTACTCTTTGTGGCGGCACACGGGCTTTTCATTGTGGTGGCTTCTCTTGTTGCGGAGCACGGGCTCTAGGTGCGTGGGCTTCAGTAGTTGTGGCACGTGGGCTCAGTAGTCGTGGCTTGCGGGCTCTAGAGCATGGGCTCAGTAGTTGTGGTGCACGGGCTTGTGGGATCTTGCTGGACCAGGGCTCAAACTCGTGTCCCCTGCATTGACAGGCGGATTCCTAGCCACTGCGCCACCAGGGAAGTCCCCATGATTCACTTTTGATTACTTTAAGTATCCTAATTATGTTGTTTGTCAGATTATCAAAGAAATTTGAATCTTCTTGGTCTCTCTGTTTCTCTGAACTTCCTTTGATACTCTAATGCCTTACCAGAATTTCTAAAAGTGACTTCGTACTTTTCATTAATTTGTTGGTCAGTTGGTTGATACAGTCTCCTGTTTGTAGAAAGAATGATCTCTAGTTTAAAAAGTGACATGAATCAACCTCCACAAAGCCTCTGTGATGGGAGGCTTCCAGAGCATTCTGTGAACATCAAGCCTGAGTTTTTATTCCCAGGCAGCATAGCCATGAGCCATGATACACTATGTTATGGATGTTTTACTTCAGACATGCCCTCTCCATAGCTATAATGTGTTGTGGTTCTTCTGTATTTATTTCTAATTGTTATACAGAGTCCACAAGAGTGTCTATACCCTCTCTGGCACTTGGTCCAAGAAAGTCTACTGCAGTGTTCTCTGATGTCTTCTTTTCCTTATTTTCTTTATTGACTCTGATTTCACTTTCTGGCATTTTTGCAGTGATCCCAGAGAGATTCCTTCTAACAGCCTCACAGAGGAAATGGGTACCTAACAAAATAGATCTGATATTGAACATCATCCAACTTTAAAGCACTGTGTTTCTCATCTGAGTAGTGTTTCTGTTCTGTAATGTGCCCCTTCCCACCTTGGGATGATTGAACATGAAGGTGGACCTTGAACTGCTGACCTAGTACATTAGGACAAAAGTCACTTTAGTGGGACTGGAAACTCATAGAAACCATGGTGCTGGACCAATGAGAAGGGAGGGGCTGTGGGAGAATTGAATGGACTAAGCAGGTGAGGAGTCTGAGATTAGAGTTTGGGTCGGTTACCTAGGGTGATATTGCATGGTTAGAAGGCTGCTGGTTGGTAGGATCTAGGGTGGAAAAGCAGGTGAGGGATAGGGTGAGAGAGAGGAGAGACAGGAGGTGGCCCTCCATGTTTTTCCCCCACATTGGCCCTCATTTTGGTTTCTGACCCTTGCCATCCTCTTTTTATCCTCCTCCCTGACCCAAGATGCCATGACAGTGGTCCCTTCCTTGCTCCCTATGCTGGATTCCATCCCTGAGTCTCTGAGAGATTCTAGTGCCATTCTTTCCTATTCTCTGTCACACTAGGATACACACTTCCCTGTAAATATTTTTGTGAAACTTCAATCAACGGTCAGGAGAGATATCTTTACCCGAGAAAGTCACCTTACTGTCAGCAGGGAATAAGCCAGTAGGTTTTGGTTTTCCCTTCCTAATATATCTCCTGCCAACTCATTTTGGTTTTATTCCCCTGCGTCCTGCATTTTCATCTTTGGTGGTCCTTTGCATAGATTCACCATTCACCTCTTGGTTGGCTGAAATTCAGTTTCTAGTGTTTTATTTAAGGCTTCAAGAGAATTATACTCCCTGACTTCTTGTGTGTTTGAAAATTTTTCTTGCTTTTATCCTTGAAGAACTGTATTATTGAGCATAAAATTCTTAGATCTCACCGTTTTCCCCTGAGGTCTTTGTTGTTCCACTATCTTCCAACATTAAATATTGCATCTCCATGTCTGATGACAGCCTGATCTTCCCCTTTATGGGTTGATTATGTTGCATGGATGGAGCGCCTTACTAATGGTCACATTCAAAGGTTTAGTATAGTGACGCTAGGGTGTCTTGGATGCTGTATTTACCCCTCAGATGGTTGGGCAGGTTATGAATGTTCTCCAGCTATCACAGAGAAGGCAGGGAGTCTGATCATTTTGCTTTGTACCTGCTTTTAGTTTTGGCATCTCAAGTCAGAACAACAGTCCCTCCCACTAATCATCTTCCTGATATCACATTGTTGAACATGATTCTTTAAAAGCTCTTTGTCGTTTTAGGCTCTCTTGGCGAATATGGCTGCAATGTTTGCAATCTACCATGGGTCCCACGGACTGGAACATATTGCTAGGAGGGTACATAATGCCACTTTGATTTTGTCTGAAGGTGAGTCAGTTTTCTGTTTTAAAACTTTTGGTTATAACAAGACCGATACATGTGAGTAAATAAAATTGAAAACTCACTGCATGTCTAATACTACATGCAAAATTAAAAGTCAAATAAAAACCTAGGAATAATATTTTCAACATCTATGACAGACTGAGTGTTAATATATTTAATATAGTGAGCTCTTCCTCAGTCCCCCCACCCCATACACAAGAAGAATGAACACCCTGAGAGAAAACTGGACAAAGGACATTAAATGTAATTTTAAAAGAAAGTATACAAATGAACATATATAATTTCAACCTCACTATTAATCAAAGAAATGTAAATTGAAAGAAAAAAATAGTGTTTCTCTCATTACATTGGCAGAGATTAAAAAGAATCCTGATATTGGTATGACTTTTATGAAGGCACTTAAACAATCTGTGTCAAAAGCTTTTAAAATGCGCCTACAATTTGATACAGAAATTCTAGGAATGTATCTAAAGGAAATAATCAGATAATGATGTAAAGGGTGTGCATTGAAACATTATTTACAATAGCACAATCTTGGAAACAGCCTAAACGTCCAATAATAAGTAATTAGTTAAATTATGGTACATAATTTAAGTTTGAATATTATATAGCCATTAAAAATAATGATAGAGGTTTTGATCTGTAGAAAAGCAAAATCTTCATGATACATTAAATTTTTTAAAAAAGGGTAAAGAAGTATATGTACGTGATATATCACACACACACACACACACACACACACACACACACACACACACACAC